AAATTTTGGCCCTCTCATGGAAAATATTTATTTAATTTTGGCCCTCTCAGGGAAAATATTTGTTTTAAATTTTGGCCCTCTCATGGAAAATATTTATTTAATTTTGGCCCTCTCAGGGAAAATATTTTTTTTTAATTTTGGCCCTCTCAGGGAAAATATTGTTTATTTTTGGCCCTCTCAGGGAAACTGTTTTTAATTTAAAATGTTTGGACCCTCTGGTTGTGAGAGTTTCTCTGTTATCCAGATTTAAAATCTGTTTAAAAAGTAAAACTGTCTCCAGTGGAGGTTTTACCAGAGAGTCCAAACAGCTGTTGTTTGTGTGCAGCTGGAGAACCTGTCAGGAGGAGTCCAGAACCAGAGCGCTGATCCCAGGTCTGCGTTTGAGGAYGGGCAGCAGCTGGACTCCGTGGACCAGCTGGAGCTGCAGTTCTACGAGACCCAGCTGGAACTTTATGACACCAAGTTTGAGATCCTGAAGAACGAGGAGCAGCTGCTGGTGGCTCAGATAGAAACCCTGAGGAGACAGATTAAAGGTCAGATTATTCTTCTGGATCTGATCCAGGTGATCCAACCAGACCTGTCCAGTCCTGGTCCTGCAGGGCCACTGTACAGACCTGTCCAGTCCTGGTCCTGCAGGGCCACCATCCTGCAGGTTTCTGGTTAAAAAGAGGTTTCTGCTGGTTTTGCTGCAGAGCTGAAGGACGAGGTGGTCTACTACGACGTGTGTGAGGACCCTGAGGAGCTGCAGAGTCTGATCCACTCAGGTCCTCATCAGGGGGACCCGCCTCGGGTCACCCAGCTCCGGAGACGCCTGCAGGCCTTAGAGACCAAGAGGGGAAACATCTGTGCTCGGAGAGCTTACCTTCGCAACAAAAAGGTGAGGAAACTGTCTGACATCAGCTCTGCACTGAAAACAGATAATTCATATATTTATATTTTATAAAAACACATTTTTTATTTAAGCCTCACGCATGAAGAGAGTCTTTAAAACAGTCATAAAAACTGATCCTGAGTTTTATTTGACTACTATGGACCTTCAGGCTGTTTTTACATGTAATGAGTTAAACAGGAAGAGGAAATGACCTGATGCATGTCAGTGACCCAAACAGAAAAATAAAGATGAAGTTGGACCTCAGGACCCAAACCTTATTGTTTTTACTGCTAGCTTTACTGCTAGCATCCGTCCTCCCACAGTGATAATATTATACTGACACAAATTATAAACATCATCATTAAGTTCCTTTAAATGATGCAGAAGACACAAAACACTGAAATTACATAAAAATAAACTACAGAAAGTTGTTAAAACTTCCTTGTATTTACTGAGGAGAATGATAAAAATGAGTATTCTGAAGAAATATGGAGAATTATAAGTGA